GAGAGAGCTCCCTCTATAAGCCTCTTGTAAAGCTTACAAGACAAGCTTTGCAAGAGGGAGATCCCTCCATACACGTGTATGGAGGGGAGAAAAAGTTATACAGCTGTCCTAAAATATCTGCAAAAGCAGATGAACAGCAATCGGCTGGCAAAAAATGCCATCTTGGCCAAAAATAGTGCCGACCGGCACAAAAAAGTGCTGACCGGCAACAAATAGTGCCGACCGGCAAACTAAATTGCCGGTGGCAGCAAAAACCAGCCGGTGGCATCTAGCCACTGCCGGTGATGGGTGGGGATGGTCTACAAGCCCCACCCTGCCTCTCCAAGGCAAGATGCAAGTGTTTGGTGCAAAACCAGACACTAAACGGTCGAGTTCGGGGATCCTGAGGCAAGGTGCGCGAGCCAAGACCTCCGGGAACTCCAAACGAACACAAACATGGATAATCACCGAGTGTTCAAACGGTGACGTCCAAGCCTTGAGGACAGTCAAAAATGGGGTGTCTACACCAGGCCAAGGTTTAGTCCGGCTTGATGGTTTAGTGCGGCTATTCCCATAATGATGCGGTATGAATTGGTGGACAGTTGGGTGGGGCATAATCTGGTCTGCCTAAGAAATTCACAGATCAACGGTTGAACCGGAAACCGTAGTCCGGTTTCTATAATAGATAAAAGGGTGAAGGGGACGAAGCCTTCATTATCCCAGGGAGTGATGTCTTTTTCGGCCAAAGTCAAGTGGACATCATCAGGTATGTTATAGTCCTTCCTGAATTCGGCTAAACCGCCCGGGGTCTCTACCAAATACCTATACTTACCCATTTATGGTATAATTTAAGAATAAGTTAGATCGGTTCAAAGGTTGTACTCAGTAGCTCGGTCGAGTGTGCAAAGGGGTGCTTGGGCCACCTAAGTCTGCAAAGTGGAAAACATAGGGGTTAAGCACAGATCATCTGACCGTGCTACAGATAAAAGCAAGACAAGTCCTACTTCGGCTATGTGGGATGCTGCAGTTTATATTTCGGTTCAGACTTCGGGCTTGGTTGATTATTTCGGTTTGAACTTTGGGTTTTGTTACTTCGGTTAAGCCTCTAGGGGCAGCTTTCTGAGTCTGGTTTAGAAACTAAGAAAGCTGTCTTGGTCCCAAAGGCTTAGCTCGGTTATAGACCGAAGTACTTAGTTCAATATTTGCAAACTTTGTTCGGTAATCTTATCTCGGCTAAAGTGGTTCAGAAGAAACTACTGATATTCCTATAAGTTCTAGTTCGGTTATTGTTTGAATCTATCTATCTATATTGGACAAACAGTATCCTAGTTCGGTTGCTATGTGATTTTGGATCCAAGATTGGTTTTCTACAAAATGGTTCATACACGCATGAGTTCTACTGATTTTTTCATGAAAGTACAGGAGCAAAAACAAAAATGTATACATATGTTTTGTAAAAACATACAAAAAAAGATATACAGATGCGAAAGCAAAAACGGGGGAAGAAAATGGATTTACTTACCAGATTGAAGAGGGAACTGAAGATGGAACGGTCACAGAAATGAAGAACACAAGCTTAACAGTTGAAGAAATAGAGGCACAGAGAGAGAAGATGAAGAATAATAGAGTGGGTGATTCAAAAAGTGAAAGGGGTTGTTTTGTGTAAAGGCAGAAAGGGCGGGACTGTTCAAAAATTTCGTAGTACGAGGGCGGCGTGACAGCTGCCCCCGGCCTATCAGAGCCTGCCACGTGTCAAAGGAAAGGGAAGCGTTACAGTCACTATGATTGAAGAGACGTTTTGACCGGACAAAATGGAGTCCGGAGTAAAAATTAGCTCGGCTTAAAAGTCTTAAAAGTGTTTTTAGCTCGGCTGGAGAGGCTAAAGTATTTTTAGCTCGGCTGGAAAAACTTAAAAACTCCCGCTCGGCTGGTATACTGGTAATCCCAATCATGCTCTGCAGATGGAATTAAGGGGCAATTGAGAGGGTAATTTTTGGGAAAAATTGGGCCGAGCTGTGAGATGGACTTTATGGCCCAAAGTACGAAGGACAGGATAGAAAGGTCCAATAGAAATGTAAAGGTTACTCCGGCCCAGGTGAGGTAAAATTACTTCAGTGCAAAAAGATGTAAAGCTACTTCGGTCCGGGCAACTTGGAGTTAGGTCGGTCCCAGTAATAGTCCGGTTGAGACGTATTGAGGTTAGAACGGCCAAAACACTACTACTCGGTAGCTCGGTCTTGGAGTTGTGCCGGTCGCAAATTGTTAGTTCGGTCCAGTCGTGTTATGGGTTGAGCAGAGGAGAACCGAGATGAGGAGTAAAAGCAGAACCGAACTAAGAATAGTTCGGCCTAGTCAGTGGCTCTGCATAGCCAAGCTTCGAACTAAGGATAGTTCGGCCTACTTTGTGGCTCAGCATAGCCAGGTTTATCTCGGTCGGATGATAGTTCGGCCATGATGAAGACCATCCCACTTGGTTTAAGCAGTGGGGGGGGGTGTAAAAAGATAAGCATTATCTCTTAGGAGTATGAATCCTAGGAGGACTCTGCATGGAGGAGTACAAGTCCTACTAGGATTGTGCCACACGAAACTTATAAAAAGCTCACAAACATCACCTTGGTGGAGGTAACAGAATACAACATAATTTTTGCTTTCTGAGAACATTGAGCTTTGTCTATTTGTCAAGTTTTCTGACTTAGGCATCGGAGAGGTTTCCGGCACACACCCGCCGGCTAGCTCACGTTTGTATTTTCAGGTGATAAAGCGACGTCGTACGGAGGAGCGTGGACTTAGTCAACAGGATTATACGAGAAGATTAATTTCTTTCCCGTACAAATATATAACTATATATACACACTAACAAAAACTATAAATAGTTGAGTGTAATTATGTGAAACTTTAACACAGAAAGATCAAAAAACTATACAGATACAATTCAAAGACCAAACCAATAACAGAGAGAGAGAGAGAGAGAGATGGGGGAGATGAGGGGGGCAGCCATGGCCTATTACGCGAACTTGTCGAGTGAGCAGCAGTTTCAAGCATGGAACTTGTACAAACAATTGGATAGCGATGGAGATGGAACGGTGAGAGTTCAAGGCTACTCAGACTTCCTCAAAGACAAAGGTTATGCGAAAAAAGTACCTCTCAACTTGTTCATAAACTTGTTTTTGATGTTGGACAAGAAGGTGATGGGACTCTTGATTTTGAGGATTGCATAACGTTGTACTACATGATTGAAGGAAGAGGGATATGGTGCTGTGATGAGTGTGGTGTTACGTTGTCGGGAATCAATTTCGTATGTGCGAAATGCTATGAGGCTGGTGGGACTACCTACGAGCTATGTTGTGGGAGTTTCAGAATAGAAACTTCAAACACCAACACTCTGTTTTCTTGGATAATTTTACTTTGCTCAGATATAAACAACCCTCTCCCCCTTCCCCAACTCAGGTAATCTCAAGCAACTCTTGGTTTTTTTTTTTTTTGAAATACTTTTGATTACTTCTTTTTGGGTTTTTAAAAAGGTTCAGCTGCTTGTTTTCAATCGGTTCGCGGGCTTACTATGGTTTCACTTCGATGATTAATCATTTGTTTTTAAATCATGTCATTTAAATTATTTATAAAAAAATTTAGTTGATTTGATAATTGTAACCTACATTTAAAATTATTGAATCAACCTGAGTTCTTTTGTAAATGATTTAAATATTGTGATATAAAAAATAAACATTTTGAATTATTGAATCATGAGCAACAAGGTCCAATCCACAAAAAAGACAATCTGGACTCTTAAAAATTTCACCTTTTGAGTTGCACAGAATATTGTTACTTTTTTGTCAATAATGTTATATCTCCTAATTTATCACACTTAATGATGTGATATTGAGATTAGATCCCACAAAATGGAATGCTTGATAAATTAAATTTGACACTTATCAAACATATCATTAATAATAATTTTTAAGAGTGATAAATTAAATGTTTTGAACATTTTTTGTTTTTTTCTTGCAGATATGAATATAGGCTATTGATTGGTTTTGTACGTGAGGAACTAAATATTTAAAAGTAAATGTTAGTTTGGTGAACAAATTGAAAAAATAAAATCACTGATCATTATGATTTTTTTTTTATGATAATTGAGAAATATTGGGTTTATTTTTATCAAGAAGTCCTTTTTAAAAAAACAAAAATAAAATAAATAAAAGACAAAATTTGATAATTAAACCAACCAAGGTGGTTATTTTTTAATTGAAGTTTCACATTGCCTCTTGGTTCCAATCCAACAGGTAAAGTTAGGCAGATGAACCAAATTAAAATATTTTTATAAACTAAAAATTAAATTAATACAATTTAAATATTACAAAATATAATGACACAAATTACATATTTTAATAACTTAATTAATAATTAATCCTTTTATTTTGCTATTCCTCTCTTACAATGGAGCCTGCTCTTGATGCAGAGAAACCCTTCCAAACAATGTCAATGCAGTCAAACTAATTGGAAAAAGGTAAATCATGTTTTATCATAAATGAAAAAAATTTAGAAATCCCCTAGATGTTGATTTGTGATTATGTATCAATTTTAAGCAGAATATAACAATCTCAATCAAACAATCAAGACAAAGAGACACAACGATTTAACGTGGAAAAAACCACAATTGGACACCTCCAACTGTGATAAAAAAACCACGGGCAACAGCCACAAGACAATCCACTAAGAAGATTTAAAAGAATTACACAGGTATACTCTCAATTACCTAACGAATCCACGCATGAAGAAAAAATACCATTACATCTATCCCCCTTGCATTCAAAAATTTCTTCAACACTAATGTAATCTTTCTTTCTACTTTTTTTTTTTTTTTTACTTTTTACTTTTAATTTGGTGGTGGTTATTCTATATTATTTTTATCATGTGACCTATTTTCCATTTTGGGAAGGCATTCTCCCACTTCATCATTGTACGGACCAGTTTCCGCAATAGAGTAAGATGGAACTTCGTGGACGAACCCTGGTGCACCGATGGGTAAAGGCCTGCACAAGGAACAAATAGTTAGGCTATCCGACCGGGGGTTGGTCGAACCCCACCGACGGTCAAGTCAATACCGGAGTTTGGTAGAGACAAGATAGAGAAGACCAGTGTGTTTCTAGAGTTAAGAGATCGCCCCTTTCAAGGAGAGTAAGTTTACCTTTTATAAGGATCGTATGACTTATTCATCAAGCTCCCTCGTTCTCCACCTGGTCCTCAGCTGTGATGGTAGCACATCCCTTAATAGAGGGGAGCAAGTTTCGCCATTCATCGGCACCACATGCCTTTTACTTTACATGGTATTGATTGATCTGTTAGCACTCATCTGTCGTGGAGTGGGAGCCTTGAAGCCCAAGTTATGGACTTACCCACTTCGGAGTGGGGAGCGGTGCTAGGGCCAGGCCCATGGTCTTTCCTTCTTCGAAGTGGGGAGTGATGCTAAGGCCAGGCCCATGGTCTTTCCT